GGTGGCTGGAGGAAAAGGAATAAAAAATCAGAATGAGATCTTGACGTTACTAGAAGCAGTCTGGGAGCCCAAGGAAGTAGCAGTCATCCATTGTAGAGGACACCCAAAAGGAAAAGACTCCGTGTCAGAAGGGAACCATCCCGCAGACACAGCGGCCAGGCTAGCTGCTAAGGTGCCATCTTGGATCATGCTGGTTCCTGAATTACCTGAATATACCTCTCAAGAAGAATGGGCCGAAACCGATTTGGCTCAGTGGTAGAGCGTCGGTCTGCGGACTGAAAGGTCCCTGGTTCGATTCTGGTCAAGAGCATGTACATTGGTTGCGGGCACATCCCCAGTAGGGGGTGTGCAAGAGGCAGCTGGTCAATGTTTCTCTCTCATTGACGTTTCTAGCTCTATATCTCTCTCCCTTCCTCTCTGTAAAAAATCAATAAAATATATTTTTTTTTTTTAAAAAGAAGAAGAAGAATGGGCTCAATGAGAAGGGGGTAAAAGGATGAAGGAAGGTTGGTGGATATTCCCAGATCATAGGGCCTATGTTCCAGAACAGTTAGCTCATAAGAGTAGTCCTCCAACAGCATGAACTTACCTATTTAGGGAAGAGGGCTCTAGAAGCCTTGTTAAGCAGATACTATCTAACTGCTGTCTCCCCTCCTTATGCGCCTCAGTCTCTCAGCACTGCCTCCTCTGTGCACAGAACAATGCAAGTCAGGGTCCTGTAGGACCGATAGGAATTCAGCACTGTGGGCACACTCCCTTTGAAGATCTAGATGTAGACTACAGAAATAGGGCCTAGTAGAGGAAATAAATATATTTTAGTTTTTGCCTGAACCTTTTCAGGCTGGGTTGAGGCATTACCCGCACGGAGAAGGCGAGAGATGTCACTGAGGAGTTACTGAAGGACATAATTCCATGGTATGGAACGTCATTAACCACAGGGTCAGCTAATGGCTCACTTTTATAGCTGAGGTAGTATAGCAGGTAGCTAAGGCTTTAGGAATTAAGTGGAAGTTACATATAGCCTACAGGCCCCAGAGTTCAGTGAAAGTAGAACACATGAACCGGACTCTGAAGCAGGCTATGGGTAAGCTAAGCCCGGAGATGAATTTACCCTAGACAGATATCTTACCACATGTGCTCCTGTGAGTGTGCTGGGCCCCGAGAACCAGGGTAGGGTTCTATCCATTTGAAATTCTATATGGCAGATCCCCTTCCTTAATTCGGCCAAAGGGAGATTTGGGGAAAATAGCGGACTTAGAAATTCAGAAAGAGCTACAAGGACTTTGGAAAACTATCCTTGAAGTCCACAGATGGGTTACTGATCGATTGCCCATCTCTCTAGGAACAGCTGTGCACCCTCACAAGCTTAGGGACCAGGTTTGGGTAACAGATTGGAAAAAGGAACCCCCTAAAGCTAACTTGGAAGGGACCCTATTCAGTCATACTAACCACCCCCTCAGCTCTCAAAGTCACAGGACTGAACACCTGGATCCACCACTACCGGGTTAAAGAAGCCCATCAGCTGGACAATCAGCATCCAGAGTGGAAGGTATCCTCTGACCTGAACTAACCCCTGCATATCATCTTCAAGAAGACAGTGGATCCAGCTGACCAACCTGAATCTCCTTATGCCCTTCTATCTGAATAATTACTGTTTTTGTGTTTTGTTTTGTTTTTTTTCCAAACAGTTTTATTCTTTCTTCATACAAGTGTCGCCGGAACCCCAGACTGGTATTGGGAGAACCTCTCTGCCCTTGTTACTCTGATGATCCCCTTGGGGAAGATGGGGAAGACTCGGGATACTGAACCCCCTTTTTCGTTGCCCTCCCTCCTTCAGCAGTACGTAGCTAGAGTAGTCGTCAACCTTATCCCCAATTTCTAAGTTTGTTTTTTTGTAATCCCCAACACTAAAAATAGCTTGTGTAACAAGAAGGGGGAATGAAAAGGAAAATGGCGGGGGGGACGACTTGCAATTAGTTCAGTATCTCATTAAAACTGTAGTCTTACTTCCCCACTCTGACTTGGGCGGAGCTTCGGAGCCTAACCCCAGGGCCCCACCACAGCTGACTTGGGAAGAGCTTCGGGGACCCTCAGAGGCCTGCTACAGGAGAAAATACATAGGTCAGAGCCTCCCAGAAGTTCAATTCAGGCTTTGGATCCGGAATTTCCCTGGACTAGCAGATCTGTGAAATAAAGGTTTCACTTTCTTCCCTCAGAGTGCTGGCTAATCGTTCTCCCATGCATTCTGCCACAACAAATAATCACCTGAGGATATTTTTCCATTGATTTTTAGAGGTAGTGGAAGGGAGGGGGAGAGACACAGAGAGAGAAACATCCATGTGAGAGAGATACATTGATTGGTTGCCTCCTATAGGAGCCCTGACTGGGACCGGGGATTGAGCCTGCAACTGAAGTACGTGCCCTTGACCAGAAGGAAACCCGAGACCCTTAAGTCTGCAGGCCAATGCTCTATCCACTGAGTGAAGCTGGCTAGGGCTGTAATATTTCTAAATTGTAAAATTATGCTTCAAGTTCTACAATTTAAGTATAAACACAATGTGTATAAAAGTACACAAAACTCAAAATTCGAATCAATTGTATCACAAATTCAAATTGTAGTAATCCTGCCAGTTACATTAAAAGAAAATTAATTTTGAAAAGTATGAATTTAGATAGTTCTCATTAATATGTTTCTCAAAGCAAAAAGTGGTCAAAATTATTCAACTTTACATAGTCTGCAGTGACTTTTCTCCACCACTAGATGGTATTATCAGCTTCAGAAATGTAAAGGGGAGATGTCTAAATCATTGCTGCCATCCTCAAATTTCCTGCCTCAGTATGCTCATATACTTGTATCCATTAGGTCATAAGTCTCAATCCTTGGCTTGCCATATATGGTCACTACAATCTTAAATAGAATAAAATAAATACACTGTTAAAATCTGAAGTAGAAGGTGGGAAAGCTTACTCTTAACTTTTCACAAAAGGTTTAAAATTCAATTATAGAACTAAGTAAGAAAGAAAACTGAAGAAAAACACTATAAAGGTTGCTCTCGCCGGTTTGGCTCAGTGGATAGGAAGGACATCAGCCTGTGGACTGAAGGGTCCTGGATTTGATTCCGATCAAGGGCATGTGCCCTGGTTGCAGGCTCCATCCCCAGTAGGTGAAGTGCAGGAGGCAGCCAATCAATGATTCTCTCTCATCATTGATGTTTCTTTTTTTTTTTCTTCTTTTTTTTAAATATATATTTTATTGATTTTTTACAGAGAGGGAGAGAGATAGAGAGCTAGAAACGTCGATGAGAGAGAAACATCGACCAGTTGCCTCTTGCACACCCCCTACCAGGGATATGCCCGCAACCAAGGTACATGCCCTTGACCGGAATCGAACCAGGGACCTTTCAGTCCGCAGACCGACGCTCTACCACTGAGCCAAACCGGTTTCGGCTCATCATTGATGTTTCTATCTCTCTCTTCCTCTCCCTTCTCTCTGAAATCAATAAAAATATATTTAAAACAAAACAAAACACTATAAAGGTTTATCAGTTGCACTTTAGCACTTCAAAAAGTTTACTATTACTTTTCTAATCTGTTTATCTTAAAAAAAACAAGTTTTTGCTAACGACTGTATTTTTAACCAGCACTTTTACTTTTTAAAAAAAATATTTTATTGATTTCAGAGAAGGGAGAGAAAGAGAAACATCAATGATGAAACAATCATTGACCAGCTGCCTCCTGCACACCCCCTATTGGGGATCTAGCCTGCAAACCAAGCATGTGCCCTTGACCAGAATTGAACCCGGGACCCTTAAGTCCACAGGCCAATGCTCTATCCACAGAGCCAAACCGGGGAGGGCTAGCCAGTACTTTTAAAGTATCTGGAGTCCAGAGTAGAAGCAATACTAGTTTGTATTATGAAATCAAGTTCTAAGAGATCAAAAAAACCCACAAATTTTATTATCCTAATACTGATAATTAGGTAATTATTTTCTTTAAAAAATATATTTTTATTGATTTCAGAGAGGAAGGGATAGGGAGGGAGAGAGAGATAGAAACATCAATGATAAGAGAGAATCATTTGTCGGCTGTCTCCTGGTCACCTCACACAGGGGATCAAGCCTGCAACCCAGGCATATTCCCTGACCAGGAACCCAACCCGTGACCTCTTGGTGCGTATGCTCAACCACTGAGCCATGCCAGCTGGGCTAGGTAATTCTTTATAAAAGAAACAACTTCCTAAAACAACAGGCTCAAACCATTCTAATTCTAAGCAACACATTCTAGGAAGCTTAAAAAAAACTTTAAAGATCATTAATCTAAATTGAAGGATAGAACAATATCAGATGAAATCTAAGCCTTTTTATATTACACATAAAAGTGTCAAAACCACCTGTTTGAAAAAGTTTAAAACAAGTGAGGATTTGATATGAGAACTTTCCCATACCTTTTAAAAACTTTACATAAAAATGATTAACCTAGTTTTGTATAAATTTAAATGAAAGTACAACTTGGCTAACTTTACATAAAAATGATTAACCTGGCTTTGTATAAATTTAAATGAAAAGAAACTATAAAATAATTTTAGGTTTACTTTTAAAACTTGATTATTTCTTATGAACATATCTGCATTAAAATAAACAAGTACTACAATGTAAATAAAAAATTAACAGACAGCCTGGTGATGACAAATGTACTAGGATCCCAAGTTCACATTTCTGTATTAGACAGCAGGCCAATTATTAACTCTATAATCCACTAAAACATTTATATAAACACAGAAATCCTGAGCCATTAGCATCATTTGATTAACTCTTTAAAAACCTTAGAGATAGTTTTTTTTTAAAATTCAGATCTTTTTCACTATTGTACATTAATTTTCTTAATTCTGCAAAATGTATTCAATATTGAGGTACATCCAACGGTAAAAGTTAAGATAGGATAATTTACTCATATTTTACTCAAATTTCTTCTTGAAATTGATAATTGACTGAATGACGTACCTTCAGAGTTATGTGCAGTTTTCTTGTGTTTCCTGCAATAAACCCTATAAAAATGAAGATATTAAAAATTGTCAAGTAAACAAACTAAACCCATTTTTCAAATCTAAAAAGTGAAGGATACACTTTACCCCAATTACAAGCTAGATTCCCAAAATCTTATTATTAAACTTTCTATGCCATTTCACTAAGCATTAAGTTATTTACCGAAAACACTCTTTACAATTAAATTATTTGAAATGGGAAATTGTTTTTACAAAAGCCTAAAGAACGTATGACTGTTAAAAAAATTTAAAGAGAAGTTGAATAATTACATGTAAATTCCTTGTGAAGGTTTTTCTCGTATTTGAGCTTTATCATGCAATGCACAGTGGTAGTGGTATGTCCTGTGGCAAGTTTTCACATCACAACCAATTGTTGCTCCAGGACAATGGCACAAAGAACACATCTACAGGAAAACAATAAAATATTATTAGTGTGTGACTTTGCTAAGGCAATGATATCAGGTTAGAGGCATATTAATCTCTGTCAAGGAAAACAAATTGGTTAATGAAAAGTTGTGTAACTTAATGCTATTTTTTTGGGGTTCGTGCCAAGAAGTAATTCGAATACAATTCTGCCGGGGATGCTTTTCCCCCCCATGTTAAACAAAAACAAAATTAATGGAATATTATTAATGTCTATTGTTTCACTGTGGTAAAGAGAAATTTTGAAATGTTACAAATAAGGTATGTAAACTGTATAAAATTAAAAACTTTTCACAATCCAGATCTTCCTAGAAATGTATAATTGGTGAAAATGCCTCATACCAGAAAAAATTTTCCTTTATATTTCCACATAATCAATGAGAATCTTCAGGAAAAAACAACCGTCACATACTATTTGGGAATCTGGTAGAATAAATTTTAAGTGAGGGAAGGAAGGAAGATAAAAAGAACGAGGTAGATTCTAAATACCTTAAGTTCTAAAAACATTTTGTGATGTAACCTGTTACTTACCTCTTGCATTATGAATTCAAACAAATAAATAAAAGAACAGACTCTATCAACATATTTTACTATAACTTACCTTATGATTTTATTGAATAATTCATATTGTTTAACTAGCTCATGATGTAAAATTAGGAAAAAATATTTTTAAAAAGTAGCATTAACAACTACGTAACAATGATTGTTAGTGGTTTAACATATCACAATGTATTGTGCAGAATGGTCTTTTAATGAGGCTATCTTCTAAGCCATAAATGCCATGCTAAAATAAACTCATAATAAGATAAATCTTAAAAACTGCTCATTTGTTTTTAAATGGCTAGACACCTCATTCAAAACTGTTCTTATTCCTCTTTATTCATTTTAACATAAAGAACATTTACCATCCTAATTTTAGATTACTTGGCCCTAAAGCAATTTTATTTACCAAGAGGCTAATATAGATTCCAATAAATTTTCTTATATTGCTCTAAGCAAGTCAAACACTCAAATTCTTTTTCAAGCCATCATTCAAAAAACACTCAGAAACATTCCCAATACAGGTACTTCCAAGAAAACATGAGGGCCAGTGTCAATTATTAATACTAGTGAAATACTCCACTTCCTTAAATAAATATAGAAACATCAAAGTATTAATGTAAAAAGAAATACTATGCCAAATTACCAAACAGGAAATGTTGTTAAATACTTTTAGATGGCTTATAAATTCTTGAGAAGGTAGAATATTTGTACTGAAGCTTAATTATAAGGTTCCATTATTTTAGTAAGTTACATTTCCTTTTTTAAAATATATTTTTTTTAATCTCAGAGAGGAAAGGAGAGGGAGAGATAGATAGGAACATCAATGATGAGAGAGAATCATTGATGGGCTGCCTCCTGCATGTCCCCTACTGGAGATCGAGCCTGCAACCCAGGCATGTTCCCAGACCAGGAATCAAACTGTGACCTCCTGATTTATAGATCAGTGCTCAAACATCGAGGCATGCTAGTGGGGCAAGTAAATTACATTGCTAATCAAAACACACAGACTTATTATAGAATTTTGGAAAACACACAAAAAATTAAAAATCACTCATACTCACCAATCAGAGATGCTATTTAAGTGTTGAATGCTTATGTGAAAGTATTTTCCATGTAATTTTGTATGTACCATTTTGCGACCTTTTTTTTTCTTTTTTTGCAACCTGTCTTTTTAACTTAATAAATCGAACATTACCCCATTTCATTCAAAACTCTACTGCAAATAATTCATCTTAAAATTATATCTAAAATGGGTTTGCATAAATACATTTTGAAAAAATTTATTAAATTCAATTAGCAGGTAAAAATGAAAGGAGAGATATTAAAAACTAGAGACCCCATGCACAAAAATAGTGCAAGGGGCTTGGCCCCCACCATTGTGGCAGCTGCCTCGGCCTCGGCCCCCACTGCTGCGGCTTTGTCCAGAAGGTCATCCAGAAGGACATCAGTTTTAATTAGCATATTACACTTTTATAGCAAATATTATACTGGGATCTGGATTAAAAATGGCAACAGAGTAGAAGGATGCTGCACAGACATGCTCCCAGGAACAAGCTGGAATTGCAACTGAAATACGGAAAGGCTTTTTGAATAATCAACGGAAAACTCACAGGAGAGCCCTGATACCCAAGGACTGAAGGTGGAGACACAAAAGGGCTTGCCCGGCACCCACAAATGGCAACTGAAGTCCCAGAGAGATATCTAATGTGGGGATTGCACTGAGAATTCTGGGATCTAATCCCAAAGCTGGGTTCCTCAGCAGAGAACACTAAACTGAGGAGGGTACCCAAATAACAACTAGCTGTGAAAAGCAGTAGGGTGCTGTCTGCCAGGGAGTGGCAGCTGAAAGTTCAGGCACCCTCTTCCGGTGCCAACACACAAAAATTCCCAGTGTAGCCACCCACCTTGTGCTCTTTCAGAGGGAGGGTAAAGTGGACGATAGCTGTGAGAGCAGACCCCAAGACTGGGACTTGGGGGATAGAACTCAGAAGGCAGACACGCTAAGTTTCTTGGGCTGAGTCATTCCCTCACACAGCACAGGACATCTTTCCCACGCAGACATTTGCCTTGCCTGGGGGGAAGGCAGTCAACACACCCTATTGGAAAACACCTAGCCCAGAGACCACTTAAGAGATTAAAACAACCCCCAAATGAAAGAACTAGAGAATAATCCAGAAGAAGAGATAAATGAAGCAGAGATAAGAAATTTATCTGAAACAGTTCAGAGTAATGATGTTAAAAATGCTCAACAGTATGAAAAAAGATATAGTAACTATGAATAAAGAACAGTCTGAGATAAAGAATGACATAACACAAATAAAGAACACATTGTAAGGAATACACAGCAGATTAGGGGAAGCTGAGGATTGAATCAGTGAATTAGAAGACAGAGTTGAAAATATCACTCAATTAGAGAACCAAAAAGAAAAAAACAATTAGAAAACAGGAGGACAGCTTAAGGGATCTGTGGGACAATGTAAAATATAACAATATTAGAATAGTAGGTATACCAGAAGAGGCAGAAATGGAAAAAGGAATAGAGAAGGTGAAAAAATAATGGCAGAAAACTTCCCTGACTTGGTAAAGGAAATAGTCACCTAAGTTCAGAGGCACAGAGAACCCCAAACAAGAAGAACCCAAACAGACCCATCACCAGACATATCATAATTAAAATGACAAAAATTAAAGACAAAGAGAGAATATTAAAGGCAGTAAGAGCAAAGAAAACTGTTACCTACAAAGGAATTCCCATAAGGCTGACACCTGATTTCTCATCAGAAAATCTACAGGCCAGAAGGGAATGGCATGATATATTCAAGGTAATGGAAAGCAAGGATCTGAGACCAAGATTACTATATCCAGAAAGGCTATCATTCAAAATAGATGGTCAAATAAAGGGCTTCCCAGTTAAAGAAAAAAAAAAAAAAAAAAAAAAAAAGGCTAATGGAGTTCCTCTGCCCAAAGTATAACCAGTGAACTACAGCAACTTAGGACTGATCCTTTTTTTTTTTTAACTGAGAAAAAGATTGCCACTTTTGTCAATTTCTCTCAAAGAAGAAAAGAGGAAAACATATCAATAAAAATGTTTTCAGGGAGTGAAAATTCTTTTCAAGTTAAGGAGCAGGAATTTTCCTCAATTAGAATTTATAGGATCTATTTTATACAACACTCATAAATAAACAAATACCTTCTTGCATATGAAATTCTGACAAGGTACTAACAATATAGCAAAAAGTATCCACAAAAAAACTAAATGCAAACTTTAAATCTGCTTGTGTACCCATGAATACAAAATGGGAACATAATTATTACCTATTAGTCTACTATGTTATATTCCAACATCTGAAATAATTTCCCTCCTGAACTCCTATAGGACTTAAGATACAGTATTCATTTTGGCTCTTATACTTTACTTCCACAGATAGCTTATTATCTTTATAAGTATATAGATTTCATCCATTAATTGTATCTAGACCAATTTTTTAGAAGACTAATACTGTACCTTACAAAATAGTTAATTTTAAGCTTACTCTGTTATTGAAGGTTTTAATATCTTCAGGCAAATTTTTTCTCATTCATGTTTCTAACACCTGCAGATTTGGCAAAATTATCTTCAGGTATGCCTACAAATATTTAAACAGTCTGATCTAGGATTTGGAGAAGAATCATCAGTTGAAGGGGCAGAGAATAAGTAGAGGCAAGAATATTTGTGGGGAAAGATTAGCTCTGTTAATAAACAAGGGAGATAAAGATGTTGAGAAACCAGACATGTGGAACATTATAGAAAATACAGAAAAAGGACTTCATTTGGAAAATAGGAAAATGGGACCCCCACCACAGTAAGGCACCAGTTGGTGGGACCTGAGTAATATTATCCTGTATTCCACTTTACAGAAAACATTTGCCCTCCAATTTGTTATAGTCCCTGCAGAGCCCTCAGCAGAATGATTGTTGGTTGCCATTTAATGTCATGCTTGCACTTTACTCAATGCTCTCTCCAATGTGGGAAAAGGAAAGTTAACCTGACAGAAACATGTTTTTCAAGAACAATGGTGGACTCCTTCCTTCCTGAGAAAAGGTCTGACCCATATACCTAATATTTGCTGAGGGCTAATTTCCTGTCTCCAATATAGGTATTTCAATTCTTAGCTTACTCTGCTTGTATCTTTTTAAATTCTTAATTTAAATAGAGGTAAAAATTTATTTGTTGAATATTTTTGTTTCACTTTTACTCCTCTATTCAGTTTGCTATCTAGTATACCTAGTAAACCTCAGTAATCAATTACCTCTTCCAAAATGGGAAGAATGTAAGAAAAGGTCCCTTTCTATTTCAGATGTTTGAATGTCATCTTTATATTATGGTTAGAAGCTATACTATCTTTATTTTAAAATAAAATTATATTTATTTAAGTTATGCAATATGATGGTTAATCTTCAC